CTCTATCACTGTCTGCCCATGTGGCCTCAGTACCTCCCTGAGACTCAGTTTCCCCTTGTGCACAGTGAGGGTTGCCCTGGCTGAGCTCTAAGGCTCCTGGATATGCTGGAATCTATGTATGGGTTCCTGGTGGGGTTCTGGGATGACATTCCAGGGGCTCAGCTTCCAATTCTGCTTCCTCCTCCACATCCACTTGGTCTGCGTGTGGGTCCTTCTCTTGTTCCTGTTTCTGCTGTCCTCCTAGCCCACCCAATATCTCACACCAAGGAAGAAGACCATGCTTCATCTTGGGGGCCCCTGGCAGGGTGTTTCCTTCCAACCTTTCTTGTGGGTGCCAGAGGCAGCTGCCTGAATGATATGATACCTTGAGAGGCAGAAAGGGGGTCTCTGTGACCTAAACATCTTCCCTTGTGGCTCTGCCAGAGGCCTGAAACACCCACGCGCCGTACTCAGCTGAGATCGTGATGGCTCCTAATAAAACCCACAGACACCTTGGAGCCCATGTGGCTCGGCCCTTCCTGACTCAGAAGTCCCCTCTACAATGTGGTCCCCTCTGTCCTCGCCCTCTTCCCGTGGTGGGGAGCTCCCTACTACCTGACCCAGTGCATTGGTTGGACAGCTCTGGCTGTCTACCTGCTGTCTGCTGTCATCCAGCAATGCAGCCTCGTCCTCGTCCTGCCTCTCGGCATGTGCCTCTCTTTTCTCTTCCTGTGCAAGGGACTGTACCTTAATCCCTCATTTTAGTACCTCCAGTGACTAGCACAGTGTCTGCCTGATACAGAGTATTTGCTCAGTGCATGTTTAATGAGCAACGAGAAGGATAAATGGAAGGATGGCTGGATGTGATGGATGAAAGGACAGGTTGATGGATGGGTGAATGAGTGAGTATTTTCTCTGATTTTCTTCTTCACGCTTTTATCCCCTTGTCACATGGCAAGATTTAAAGTCCCTTTCCCCCTGCCAACTATAAGGTGCTGGGCTGGCCGGTTAGCTCAGTTGGTTAGAGCACTGCCTTGTAACATCAAGGTCAAGGGTCCAGATCCCCGTACCAGTCAGCTACAAGCAAACAAATTATAAGGGGGTGCCTACTAGAGTTCTCTGCAACCCATATGAGAGCAGTAGAACCTTCCTCACCTCTCCTGCTCAGACTGCTCTATTTCTATTAATGTGACCAGTATTAGCTCGCCTGTTCCTCCATCTGTAGTCTCCTCCCACTGTTGAGTCATACTGAGCCCTCAGTGAGCTCATCCCTCCATGCCTTTTTGGACACTTTGCAGTTAGTTCAGCCACAACCCCCTCCAGCTTAAATAAGAGCAACTGATCTTTGAAACCAAGACAGGGCGTTACATTTCTTATATTTAGCCACCATTCCATATGTTCAAATCCTTCTGAGTTCTGCTTGTTGCCCACAGAGGATGGGAGCTACTTTGATTGACCACCTCACAGTGATAATGCTCGTGTGGCAGGTGCCCCTCACTTGCAGAATGAAAGCTCCATGAGGGTAGGCACCTCGCTC